TGAGTTGTTTTAAAGAAGGGAGTTGCACAGTAGATTTTTTTCCTGCAAATCCAAAATAAGTTGATAAGAATTTTCAGCATTTTTAATTTTTTCTGCTTCGAAACATTTATAAATATTTGCATTTATGACGCAGAACTTATCTCAACTTTGTCATTTCGTCGATTTTTTTTAATCTTAAATTTTAACTTTTGAAATATACTTCAAACTTCTACACGTATCTACTAAAAATTAGATGAATTTGATCTTTTCTTTTTTTAAGTAAAATTTATAAATTGCTTTATTTTCCCTATAAATCCTACCAAGACTATGTAAATGTATATTTATATAATTGGAGCCTCTTTTAAGGAATGTTTGCTTGCCCTCTTGAGCTCCTCGGGCTTGAGCTTGAGCTTGAGCTAGTCGGGATAAAACATTTGTGTAAATAGATAGGCATGGTATTTTTCTTTATTTAGAAACATGTGAGAATATAAAGTAATTATATAGGGAAAGAAAACTTTTAATGAATTAAAAATAATATTATTTCCTGATAAAAATTGATTTGAGTTCGGTCGTTTTTTTTACCCTCGCGGTTAGAAGATGACAACCAAATAAAGTTTTAAAAAATGGCCTGACACGAAATATAATTGACACAACTTACAGATGGTAATTTGTAATGACACGTGAGTCGGGAGGAGTCCACGAAATCTACACCATACACTGAAAATTGTTTGACTGGACCCGCATCAAGATCTATCGTAGAAGATCCCTGGATGTTAAATAGCTCTGGTGGACTCATGGCGAGAATAGAGCAATCAAAACCCACGTAATCCTCGCCATCACAGTTACATATCCCTGTAATTTATTATCGTGAAAACAATAGCTTTAGATATAAAACTGTTTCAGTCTGGTTTTATTTGTGATTGCTGTCTGGTTATTTTGGGATTTACATTCGACTGCATATTAAAAGGTAAAATTATATGTCTGTATTGATAATTCTCAGACATGTATTTGTCTGTATTGATATTTCTCAGACATGTATTTGTCTGTATTGAAAATTTTCAGACATGTATTTGTCTGTATTGATAATCCTCAGACATGTATTTGTCTGCAGAGTAAATTTATCAGACATGTATTTGTCTGTACTTTAAAAATTTATCAGACATTTATCTGTCTGTATTGATATTTCTCAGACATGTATTTGTCTGCAGTAATAATTCTGATGATCAAATGTAATTGACAAAATAAGTATTATCATTATAGATGTCCTCTAGGCAGCCGTCCAAACGGCGGAGGAAAGAAGTACCCAAGGAGTCGGGAGCGATTGAACACTCAGAAAAGAATGAGACGGTGCAATCCATTACTGCAGCAGTAACTGCACAAGTTCTCGAAAACTTAAAGGCAGCGGGACTTTTTCCAAAACCACCAAATAACAATGGTGGGACAAATGACAATGGTGGAACAAATGACAATGGTGGAACAAAAGAAAATGGTGGAACAAGTATAGAGTCTGCAACAAAAACAGCAACTGTCTCAAATGAGGGTATGCCAAAAGATAACAATTCAAACGCTATACATATTCCTGCACAGGATATTGTATCTTCTTTTGACAATAAGAACAAGTACAACTACAAGCCCTTAGGGAGGCCATTGTATTCTAAGATAAACACAAAACTGCAAGAAAAAATCAGAAGTAGAGAATTTATAGACATGTCTGATGTTTTGGTTGATCATCAACCAGCAGATCTTGATTTGCATTTGGCCGTCAAAAACCAAAAAATTGGTCTTACATCTGGGAAAAAACGCAAATATCTTACCATTGAAACTTGGACGGATGCATTTTTAATTTTTTCATCCGTTATTAGAAAAGCCAATCCCACCAATCCTACCATCTCTGAAGATTTAGCCATTTACACAGATCTCATTAGGCAGATTCACAAGGATGGAGGGGATTGGTTTTTCTATGATGTAAATTTCCGCCAATCCATGCAGAATGATGACACATTGTCCTGGGGTTTTGTTGATCAAATTCTGCACACTAGAGCATTAAACAGAACAAAAAATAATTCTACTTCAACTTCAACAAAGCCCTTTCAGAATCAAGCCCCTCGTAAAACCTGCCACAAATTTAATGGGGGGCGGGACTGCAATGGAATGTGTGGCTACCTCCATGCCTGCTACAATTGTAAGGGAAACCACCCCATGTCTCAATGCTACAAGTATGGGGCCCAAGGAAAAGGGATCACAGGGAAACGCAGTGAGTTTAGGGGAAATAATAAATCCTCGGTTTCAACAGAACAAGAAGCCCCACTTTCTAAAAAATCAAAATAATTTGCCCACACCAATCAATTCCAAACAATTAGAAGTTTATTTAGAGGGGTATGACGAAAACAAAAAACAATACTTATTACAAGGTTTTCGGAATGGATTTTCACTGGAATATCAGGGCCCCCGTGACCCCTTTTCTTGTCCAAATCTAAAATCTGCCTTAGAAAACCCTAAAGTAATAGAAGATAAGATTAAAAAAGAACTGGAATGTAATAGGATCGAGGGACCTTTTGACATAAAACCTTTCCCCAACATAAGAATTTCTCCCCTGGGTCTTGTCCCTAAAAAATCAAAAGGGTCTTGGCGTTTGATACATCATTTATCATACCCTGATAAAAAACTTAATTCGATCAATGCAGGGATTTCAGATGAATCTGCTGCAGTTCAGTATGCTGGTATCAACGAGGCAATTCAATGTATTAAAGTTCTTGGCAAAGATACATATCTTTGTAAAACAGATATTAGATCTGCATTTAGAATCTTGCCTGTCAATCCAGATGATTTTGAATTACTTGGTTTTCAGTGGAATGAAAAATTTTACTATGACAAGTGTTTACCCATGGGTTGCCGTACAAGCTGTAAAATATTTGAAGAATTTAGTACAGCATTAGAATGGATAGCAATTAATAAGTTGGGTATTTCTGGGATGGTGCATATATTAGATGACTTTCTAATACTAGAGGGTTCAAGAGATATGGCAATTTCAAAGTTTAAGGCATTTATCAGTTTATGTGAAGATTTAGGGGTCCCTCTAGCAAATGAAAAAACAGAACTTCCTGCACAAGTTATGGATTTTGTTGGAATTACTTTAGATATTCCCAAACATGAAGCTCGCTTACCAGAAGACAAGTTGGTTAAGTGTAAGGATTTGCTTAATAAGTTTATAGAGTTGAAAAGATGTACATTAAAAGAAATGCAGTCTTTGATTGGCATACTAAATTTTGCCTGCTCTGTAGTGCAACCTGGTAGGGCCTTTTTGCGGCGTATGATCAATATGACAATGCATGTTTCTAGTTCTCAGACACATATTTTTCTTACAAAGGAGTCAAAAGATGATATGAGAATGTGGCTTAATTTTCTCTCCAATTTTAATGGAAAATGTATATTCTTGGATGAGAAATTCCTATCAAGCTACACCTTAGAACTATATACTGATGCAGCTCAGTCTTTAGGGTATGCAGGCATATACAGAGAGAGGTGGTTTTATGGGTCTTTTCCTTTAGAATGGCAGACAATAAATATTATGACCCTGGAGTTCTATCCAATTATTCTGGCAATTCATATGTGGGGTCACTTGTGGAAAAATCATTCCATTCTATTTTTTACGGATAACGAAGCTCTAGTGTCAGTTATCAATAAACAAACATCTCGAGTTAGTGAGGTCATGACTATGGTGCGTTACATGGTATTACAGTGTTTACAACACAACATATTATTCAGGGCAAAACATATACCAGGTAAAAAGAATATTCTCGCTGACTGCCTCTCTCGTTTACAGGTCAATCAGTTTCTGAAGCTGGCAGAACATGCTCAAAAGAAACCTTGCCCTGTACCAGAACAGCTGCTGCCACAGAACTTCTGGGATACATTAAGGTCTTAACTCAAGCAGCATTGGCTCCTTCTACACAAAATACCTACAGGCGTGCTTGGACTACTTTTGAGTCTTTTTCAGTAGAAGTACTGGGTCAAGTTAGTAGTCTTCCTTTATCGGTTTCAACAATATCATTGTTTGTTGCGTACTTGTTTAAAAAGTCTTTTTCTCCATGCACTATTTCAACTTATTTGTCAGCCTTGGGTTATGTACACAAAATGTTGTCTTTACCAGACAATACACGATCCTTTCTTGTTGACAAACTTACAACTGGTGCTTACCGACTTTCACAAACAATCGACACAAGGTTGCCCCTTACGGTACCTATATTGAACAAAATGTTGCTGGCATTGCCGGTCATTTTGAATTCGTGTTATGAACAGTGCATGTTTAAAGCTATGTACCTCTTTGCTTTTTCCACCTTTGCTAGAATTGGTGAATTAGTTGCTGTTAGAGATGTACCCCAAGAAAATATTTTGCAACTGAATGATGTAAGCCTTACATATGTTCAGGATGAAGCAAAAGAAGTAGTTGTAAGCTTTAGAAAATTCAAACATAATACTAAAGAAGGGGCAAAAACCATTAGGTTTACTGATGAGAATAGTGGTACTTCTGAATCAGCCATCAAAAGTCTAGTAAAATTTTTGCAACTCAGACCGAAATTATCAGGGCCATTGTTTTGCTTTACCACTGGTCAACCTGTTTCTAGATCATATTTTGACAGGATATTACACAAATGTCTAGACTTCTGTCAGTTGGATAGTTCTAAATACAAAGGTCACAGCTTCCGGATTGGGGCTGCCACGGCTGCGGCAGATAGAGGCTGGTCCGATGCTAGAATAAGAGATGCAGGTCGTTGGAAGTCCAATGCATTCCGAAAATACATAAGGCCATAATGTGGATAAAGCTTAAGTTGCCCTATCTTTCATAAATTCAAACTTAAAAGTAATCCATTAATTGTCTACTAAAAGCTCATATTTTCAGTATTCTACAAACTTTAATTCTAAAAGATACCTGCTTGGGCCGGTATTTTTCAGATGAAGTTTTTTCGCAGACAGTTTTTAATGTGCCCAGGTCAATGTGTCATTAGGTATCAAAGGGCATATGTGCCTTTCTTCTAATTGCTTTGCATTCAATTCAGCAATACTTGCTGGGGCCGGTATTGCCTGTTTTTATTTTGTACAATATTTTACCTCATTCAGCAATACTTGCTTGGGCCGGTATTGCCTGTATGTCTTATGTTCAATAATTTTACACAATTTTAATTAGATAGCCCACGTTTATTGTGATGTTTAAATGTTTCAATATTTCTTAGCTGTAAACCACATCATGTCAGAATTTCAGCTGAAATTAAATGTATATCTATTAGTAGATGTCTGCTTGGGCCGGCATCTCATTTTACACCCAAATGGACTTCATTTTTCCATTACAACGAAACAAGATACATTTTGTATATACTGATATCAGATCTGATGTTATAAATTCTGGTCTCCTTTGTTTTTATGTTTCATATATTTGATTTTTCGCCAATGCTTGGCCTCGGTGGGGTAGGAAAGTGTTCTCTTTCCTGGTGGGCTGTTGACCCCTTGCAAGGCCAAGCTTACTTTGTATTTTTGTATTATGGAGATTATGTGTTTGTTACCGTGAAAGGTTTTTTGCATGTTTTTTGTTGTCTTTTTAGTTATAGTTGATTATGTAATCTTATGTCATAATTTTGGATTTTACATGTATGTATTTTACATGTTTTATAATTTTTAAAAATTTTATCTCAATTTGAGTAAAATTTTTTCGCAATATAGCCTGTTGTTGTGTGTTTTCTGCTATGATGAAAGAGGAAGGCATAAATGAAAGTTATTTTAATAACTGTTTTTATGTAAACGAGTGAATCATATGGATTTTATTCTATTTGTTGAATTTCTGTATGTAATCTTATTTAGTGTATAACCCGTGGTGAGCCTCGATGCATCAGAGGTTTTCCTGATTTCTGATTGGTTAATTATATTCGGCGATCATATTACAATTTTAGCGTCCCTGATGTAAACACTGTGAAAAAGCTCTGCAGATTTTTTAATAATCCCGCCCACCATCCCCTGCATCGCCTTTGAATTTATTTTTTATTTGGTAAGGGGATGTTGACCCCTTGCAAGGCTGTTGACCCCTTGCAAGGCCAAGCTTACTTTGTATTTTTGTATTATGGAGATTATGTGTTTGTTACCGTGAAAGGTTTTTTGCATGTTTTTTGTTGTCTTTTTAGTTATAGTTGATTATGTAATCTTATGTCATAATTTTGGATTTTACATGTATGTATTTTACATGTTTTATAATTTTTAAAAATTTTATCTCAATTTGAGTAAAATTTTTTCGCAATATAGCCTGTTGTTGTGTGTTTTCTGCTATGATGAAAGAGGAAGGCATAAAACATATAAAGATATTGTTTCTATTTCAATATTAAAATACATTATTCTAAGCTAGTGAATCAATAAACAAAAAAGGATCAATTATTGTAAAAAAAAAAAAAAACAGAATGTGCATTCTTTATACAGTGTGTATGATGCAGAAGAGAAACTAATCACATTCCATGAAATTTATCACAGAGGATATACTCTACCTTCTCTGCATGTCCCATGTCCACTACAATCATTGGGACAAATGATTCCAAATTTGTCCATCGGTGGGCGCCATTCTCCATCTACCGTCTCCCACTGCGTACTTTTGTAGATCAGGTCACTCTTGCAGTGATAGAGGATGTCTCTAAGGGTTTCCTCTGCCCAGCTTTTATCATCAGTAAGCTACAAAGATATTACATTGAAGCAATGCTTATTAATACAATGACATTCGTGATCATTTGATTATCTTGAGAGATTTTTTTAATAATCGATTTAATACTAGTGTCTAAATTTAAATTTCTTTAATAAGATATAATTATATTAAAATTCATATCAAATTAATCCAAAATATGAATACTTAATAAATTCTTATATTGAAAATGAAAATTGCAATATCTTTTTAGAATCCCAGTACCTTAATGTCAGTGACACAGTCCTGTAGGGCATTATTTACGAATGTCGACGAAATATAACTCTTGCACATATTTCCAGCGGAGGAGTTACTGACAAATTGTGTACAATACTGCATTGCCTCTGCTTCAGAGATATTACTGGGTGTAGGCCAGCTTCCAGTCTGAAATATACCATTTTATAAATTCAAAATTAATGCTTTCTTCATATTTTGTTTTCGTAATTAGACAAACAGATTGGACTACAAATCGAAATGCCCAGTTTTTCTTTTGACGATAACGGATGATTTGTTAAATAACTTAATTTGAAAAAACAACACCATTCTACTGGTGTACATGATCATTGAAATATCTATCCATAGGATATATGTCACATAAAAGTTTGGGAGTTTTATTTGTAATTTTGCAGGAAAAATATACAAACTGGTGCAGTGTGGGAAGGGTTGTACTCAAAAGTATAACTTGACGCCGACTCTTGCAGGAAGCATTTAGTGGTCTCTTCCGAGTTATTCTCCAATAGTTCAGCAGTAATATCTTTCCCTAGGAGGAAAAAAGTAATAGTATTGATCAGTTTTACGTATACACATATTTTTATTGTTCATGTATTTTTATCGGAAATGTACACTATAAATAATGTTCACAACAATATATTCTATTTTTCCTTCAGTACATTTCAATCAATTTTTCTGCTCTTTTCAGTAACAATGATATCGTGGATTTGCCTCTTTCTGTTCCATTCTTAGTTTCCAATGCGGGGAAGCAGTCCTGCACTCGAGCCTCTACTGCGCAGTGATCCGCCCCATGCACGTTACAAACACAATAAGTGTAGGCTGGATCCGCCTCAAAGTCTTCAGGACAGAACCCTTTGTACAGGGACTGTTCTATTGTCTCATTGATTCTGTATCAATAAACAAGTCTCATCTTTATCACTGCATACTCATTTTACTATTGTTATTTATGGCATTAAATGCCCCTATACATGCATTTAAAGATGAATCTTGAAAAGATCGGAATCTTATTTTTTCCATACCTCCAGCTGCGAAAGGATCTCTCCGGATTGTTTTCAGCAAAGGCATACCACGACCCGTCTCTCAATATTCCGTCATCATAATTTATATTGTTCCATAGACCACACAGTCCTACGATATTTCAAGATTTTCAATAGCACAACGTCACTATATAGTATAAAAAATTCCTAATGCATTTCTGTCTGTTCAAGTTTTACATAGAGGCAATCCGCTTTGCAGTGCCATTGCCCAATATAATTAAATTAGATATTTTTTTTTATTAAACTTATAATAATGAAACACTAAAAAAAAATTATATATCTTGATATATTACTTTTGGATGTCGTCGGTCGCAGAAATGCACCAATACAGAACTTTCCGACAGATTAAATACCACATGTTAGTCATGCATGGCCAGGTACATTATTTCGACTAACGACATAAAAAATCTGCTAATTTTCATTTGTCTTTATAATAATGTTAACGCCTCTCAGAACTGGGTGAGGCAATAAACAAAAGAGGTCATATGACGCAAATGAATATTCATAGGAAGAAAAAGTATTATAATTTTAAGGACAGATGATACATACAAAAATGGATGCCTGGATTGGTTTATATTTTTTGATCTTATTTCATTGCAAATAATGAAAATAATTATAGATTTTTAGAATATAAAGAAATTGTAAACCTTCTGTGATGTTCAAAATCTACCCTTCTGAAACCATCCTTATTATTCTATACAAATATCTTTCACTTCAAATTCCATCTTTGTGCAACTTTGAATGAAAAATTAAAAATTACGCGGTGAAACATTCATTTAAATCATTAAAACATGACCCAAGTTGTTATTTTAAAATTTTTTGACAAAAGTTTGTTTATATTATCTGTCCTTAAAAGAATTTTAAATGGTTTCTATTCAATGTACTAAAGCAATACATTTTGACTTGACTTTATATCACTGAATACGTTTGAACTTCCTATTAAATTGTGTATTCTTATGCTTTAAAAAGATTTAACGTTTGTTTCTTTAAGATTTCAATGCAATTTAAATAGGAAAAATACACTGATTGTGAATATTGATATTTTAAATGTTTTCTTTCTGTCTATTCAATCTGGAAAAAAGCATATTTCTAGATCGCGAACACGTATTTTCATTTCTTACAATTCATGGAAAAAATTGTTCTCTTTAAACATATTTGCTGAATAATTTTGTATTATTCAAATGCTTGCCTCTTGTATTTCGCCAGTCAACTGGTGTTGTTCTAATCCAGATGTTAAGGAAATTCGGACGATTGCCTTTGCCATTCTCAATAGTGACAACAGACCCATGAGGTAGATGAACCTGTTAATAATCAAGAAGACAGTGCATATGATTAACCGGTAAAACTAATTAATGATATATAATTATCGTAATACGTGTTTTCAAGTTCGTTGTATACAAGATGTTTGCTGTACCCCCTTTTTTATCCTAGACGTCAAGCATTAACTTTTGTTTTACAGAAAATTTCTGGTCATTTGTGATCCAATTAAGGCCCAGTAACAGCTTTAAATTATAGATTTTAGAGGCAAATCAATCTACAAGTAATAGCAATTACAGTCAGTAGGGATGCAACACGATTGACTCCCTTTAAACCATCAACCTTAACGCTTCATATTAAAAATGATATTCTGAAGAAATCAGAAAATTCAAAAAGTTTAAAAAAAACAAGAGGCCCATGGGTCACATTGCTCACCTGAGAAGCATTGCCCATTCTGTTTTTTACCAGATTTCCCCCTTGTAATACATAATGCATCCCCACCCTACCCCACTGATCATAATTTAGACATTTTGAAATCTACACTAACCCAGGATCCTTCCATGTGCACATAAGTTTCATCCTTTCAGGTCTACTAGTTCTTGAGAAGAAGATTTTCAAAGATTTTTCCTATATATTTCTATGTAAAACTTTGATTCCCAATTGTGGCCCCGCAATTCCCCCGGGGGTCATTATTTGAACAATTTAGAATCTACACTACCCCAGCATGCTTCAACATAAGTTTCAGCTTTTCTGGCCCAGTGGTTCTTGAGAAGAAGATTTTCAAAGATTTTTCCTATATATCTCTATGTAAAACTTTGATTCCCAATTGTGACCCCGCCCTTCCCCAGGGGGTCATTTTTTGAACAATGTAGAATCTACACTATCCTAGGATGCTTCCACATAAGTTACAGCTTTTCTGACACAGTGGTTCTTGAGAAGAAGATTTTTTAATGATCCCACCCTATTTTTGTCTTTTCTTGATTATTTCCCCTTGTGAGGGGACTTGGCCCTTTATTTTAAAAATTTAAATTTCCCTTTACCTTAGGATGCTTTGTACTTAGTTTTGTCAAAACTGGTCCAGTGGTTCTTGAGAAGAAGTCAAAAATGTGAAAAGTTTACAGACGGACAGACAGACAGACGGACGACGGACAAAATGTGATCAGAAAAGCTCACTTGAGCCTTCGGCTCTGGTGAGCTAATGAATGGTTAAAAGTGACAAAATGTTTACATTATACTTTTGTCCTCCACCAAAGGAAAATATCCTGGTTCCTTTAGTTAGTTGACCATTGAGGTATAGCGTGATCTTCATGGGTTTAAAGGTTCCTGGCACTGAAATTGTTGGTCCACATTTGTCAAAAACAATGACGTCATCACCAGATTTTACGGCTACTGCACAGTTACAAGTGGCATTCCCCTCATCGCAACGTCGATAAAACGTTCTGACCTAAAGTGGCAAGACGATGGGTTTTATTGTGCAAGAGGCCATGCTAAAAATTCTTTGTTCTTAATTAAGTAAAAGTACAGTGTACATGTATGTTACTTAAAATTTACCTCGTAAGGTTCCGTTCTGTGACTATAGAATATGAATTCTCCTTCCAAAAATATGTCAAGGTGCCTTAAAATACAATTATTGAAAGAATTTTCAAGAATAATGTTTAAGAATAATATTGATTAAATTTTTTGTGCAAAAGAAAAGAAATGTTTAAAACTTACCATCCATCAAACGTGGTAATGTGTGGATCATTAATCGACTTGCATATATGACTGATGCCGTCCGACACGTAAATCTTGAAAACAGTTCTTGGCATTAATAAAACATTTCACAGAGGAATAGTCAACGATTTTTATAATAATATCTCATTGCATATTATTAATTTATATTACATTCACCTTGAAAAAGATTAATAAAATAAGAAATGCTCATTTTAACTGATATTGAAAATATTGCAATATATATTGCAATTCAGTTTAAACTATTGCGGTACTAATATGTCGCAATACGAAATTCATAGCCGATACTTAGCTTTTAAAATTCATATCATGAATTCAAATAAAATGTTAACATTCACTAAATAAATTCCTCCTT